ATGTTGAGAGTAGTGTTAGTGTAACAATTCAGGATAGTCTCTCTCAACCTGTTATACTGTCATCTGAAGGAATACTCTATCAGAAGGTTTGGGACTGGCTCTACACATGTATGACTTGTCAGGATTGTGGTCAGGATGGTTATGACTATATAGTACTAGCTAATGTATTTGAGCAGAACAAGATTACATGTCTGGACAATATTACCTTTCTTACTACAAAGGATATTATTAACCTAGCTCATGATTGTAAGGTTACTGTCTTGTAAGGTCTTACTAATCAAATCATTAGATATTCAAATGAAGATATTAAAGATCATAAGGGGAAAGGAAAGGAGTAAAGAGACTATACAATCCTTGTAAGCAACTCTTCCACTTCTACTTTTAATAATGTATTGATTCTTACATTTCTATACTAAAGGTATAGTCTATTAGTAAATGATTAGAAATAGATTTGCTTTCTTGTGTCCTGAATGTTTGAATGCTTATAACTTCTTGGAATGAATAACATTTGACTATGTGCAATTTCAGAATGTGATAATACAAATAATAACATATAAGTCTAAGACTTGTCTTATATAAATGTAAATAATTAAAATAACCAGCCCACCAATCCTAATAATATTATAATAAGAGATCCCAAATATAATAACAATAATTTTAAGACTCTGTACATAATTTATAACAGTTAATAGTATGTACTGTAGAATTATTATGTCTGAAATAATTGTTATTCTTACTGTTCCATTCTCAAACTTGTAAAATATTAGTTCAAATAGTCTACCAATTCTTATAATATAATAGTATAACATTCTACAAGTAATAATAGTAATTTACAGTACTTAATTATAATTTTTGGTAACTAATTGCAAATGCTACAGCTTTTACATGTTTAGAAAAGGTATTATGAGAATCATCAAAAAAGTACAGTTCTCCTTATATAATTCCAAGTATTTATTTTATCTTCATTTTTTTTACAGTATATATACTATAATTAGTAAAATATAA